TTTAGATGATAAACTAAAACTAAAACTGAAATGTGGACGAAAATCTTTGCCGTTTTTACACTAGATGATTTTTTAACGAATTATATTCATATACTCGGAAAAATACCCTTGAAAAACAGGTAACTGATAGGGCTACCGTTGTTAAATATTTTTAAATAATAATTTTTAATAATACTCTTGAAGATGTAGAAAACAGTGAACCGGACTGAAGTGAAGAGCAGATACACTTGGATAATGTCATGGTCGAAAACAATACAAACGAATGACCAAATACCGCACATACAATGATAGTTAATATTTAATAACATTTCTGTTAACACATGTAAACAACATATTAAGCAGAGACAGCCAGTACTCACGCACAGTTCTCAGTAATATAATTTGAAATTTCGCACTTGGTTTTTATGATATATTTCGGATAACCCTCTACTCTGATTTCAGTCATAGCTGCACTTCCGTTAAAATGTTTTCTTGTGTATAGAAAGTGCATTGTATACGTATTTGCAACAGTTCTCATCATCACTGAGTTTAGAAAATACAAAAAATTGCAGTTTTATTTACTCAAGAAGTGAGAACTGTGGAAAGTCGCAAGTGAGCCACTTTATTATACAATATTCAGCTTAGCTTCGAAAGTAAATTGTATACAAAAGAAATGTCACCGAAATTTGGTGTCACAAATGAATAATACTATATTTATCATTGGAAATGATGCTGAGAAGTGTTGCTCCTGTCGACGAGAACTGTACATGTTTACATTTCATTTTGAATTTCCGGTCTCAATTGAGTTAATAGATTACGTAATATTAAGCAATAAAATTAAGCATAAATTAAGCATAATTCGGAATACCTTGGATTTAATTACAGCATGAATGCTCCCAGACATACTATTTATTGTGCGATCTATAACGTCGACGGAAGTAGCGATCTATAATGTCGACGGAGGTATTATCTAACGCTTAAATTTTTTTCTTTCCAAATTAGCTCAATGATTCACCGTGATATTCTCGCAAATAGCTTGGCGCTCTAAGTCATTCTTCACAATATGGAACATATTCTCTATTCACGGGGTTTAGATCTGGTGAACGTGGAGGTATCACATGCATTTCTGATTCGAAATCTTTAAAAGCTTTCACGTCAACCCAGGCACTATGTGTTGTTCTATAGCTTGCGCGGCCTTTGCGTGCGCCTTGTGGATTAATTTGATCGATTCTGGGTACGAGGCAGACCAGGGAGCTCTTTAGAACCTTTGCTGGCAATTTCCAATCCTTTGCTTCTCTTTCGCCAAACCCTGTGCAGGTTTTCACTTCGCTTTTGACTTGCAACCGGACTTGCATATTCTACCGCAGCCGATTTTGAAATATAACATTTTCGCGCTATCTCTCTGTATGATGTTCCAGATTCGAGCTTTAAAATAGATTACCAGCGCCTTTTGTTCAGCTGATATTTCACCGTTGTAAACCATTAGAAATTTACAATAAATTTTGTTCTTTATGATTAAAAGCTTTGTAAGCTTTGTTCAAAGACAAGCATCTAAAATTGTTCCTCTCGTTTACAACAAATCACTTAATTACCAAACCAATCATTCATTACGATGTTAGTGCGCCTGCAATGGCGCGCGTCAGCGGATTTTAGACACGAATAACGACCAACAATTAGTGACATCAACAAGTCTCGTGAAAAGCCCAATTACAGATTTTTTTGATATATCTTAAAAAAATATTTTCAATTTACAAGTTTTCCTATACACAGACAATCCTGGACAAAAGTGTTGGGACCGTCAACCTTTTCCACCCTTGAATTCTAAAGACAACGTCCCCGTCCCGTCCCGTCCCCTCCCCCACCCCAATTCAATGTTGAAAGTTCTTACAATTTTAGTTAAGGATGCCCCAAAATCAAAGCATTAGCGAAGTCTAAAGTTCATCAATGATCGCGCCATTGCGGGCGTGACCATGCACGATATTGAGTGGGTCGTCATCCTCACTGATCTCAAAAATATGGCTGATTGCTTGTAGGAGTGGGATAAGCAAGATTTCAGTTTTAATACACATATATTTGGAAAATCGTTTCATATACAACAAGCTTGAGGCAATTTTGTTCGAAGAAATGAGAAGAATTTATTTACTATGGGAAATCGTGAAATACACGGCAAGTTTGCTTTGAATATTTTTAAATATTCAAAGCAAACTTGCCTTGCTTTAATTAAATTTTTGCCTAAAAACATGAACTGTTTCCCTTTTGAACTAAGCTCTAAGTTTCATAAATTACCGTTTAATTTGAGAAAAAAACTTAAAATGTAAAGGAGACTTGAAGGCTGAACTGATTTGAAGACTGAACTGAAATTACCTAACAATTTGTTTTATTTGTATTAAACTTATTATGTTTTATTAAGTAAAAACAGTTTATCGGAAAATGTAGTTTTATAGTTGAAAGAACATTTAAAAACATTTTACGAAGCGTTTCAAGTTAAAAAGCTCACAAAATGCTAAATAATATAACTACAGTGTAAATTTCGGAAATTTATTGTTGTATAATTAAAAGTAAGAATCTTTCAACTATTTTGCAGTTTTGTACAAAAAATATAAAAAAATTTAAAATTTAAGAATTTCGTGTTGTCATGGCAACACTTGAGCGCGGGCCTGCGTTCAGTGTTGGCCATTTCTGAATACTTGATGCTAATTTAATGTTTGGAAAATATTGCCGAAGGCTTATTGCATGCATGTATTTCTAGTTATATTTTTACCTGATCTCCCTTTTACATGTCGATAGCATCTTATCGTTGCTTTCTGCAACTCGTCTGCAACGTCGCCCACCTAATTTTTCTAATTTTAGTTTTCTTCTTTGGAAAACTCCAAGGATCGAATTTATGTTATTTATTTTGTTTTTTGCTTGTATATATAGAAGATATAAACGAATGTACAGCCACACCCCCTAAATGTACAGGTGAAGATAAAAGATGTGTCAACTATCCAGGAGCATATCGCTGTAACTGTATCAGTCCCAGACAACAACTTACGAAGGACGGATCAGCATGTATTAGTATGTATGAAACTTAACCTTGCAGACCGCTCGGTGAGAACTGGGCATCTTTAGCGCGACTTTCTGATGAACAGTAATACTCGATATGTGGTTGAATAAAATAATTTAGTGCATGACAAAACGTTTAAAAAATTTTAAATTAATAGTCACATTTTAAACCTTTTATTCTCCTCGGCAGATATAAACGCATTTGCTCAGATTTTTCGCCATCTTATCTGCCTTCAAATTTCAAGTTTATACACAATTACCGCTAAGCGTGTTTAGAAGGGAGTTTTTTCAGTGGACGAAGTCTAATATATTCAGATTATTTTCATCATTTATTATTATTTTGTTTCAACTCGGCGAATTGGCTATTTTAATCAATCTGTCTTACAGTGCAGTTTGGGGTAATTAATCATCCACTAATTCGTGTTTCCAGTTAACGAATGCTTTTCTAAATAAATCTACCTGTGCTGTATACACGCTCTGTTCAACGTTAAAGGATGAGTGTCATACCATGGTATATCACGCGTGATCAAATTCCCGAGTTTGATAGCCATATGTATCATTCTTTGAGTACCCTTGCTTCTTTTGTTTGACCCCTATTGGAAATGTACCAAACAAGGTATTTTTATCGTAATTTGTTGATATGGGGGTGAGATAAAAACAATAACAAAAGCCCGCCTTATCGCGATGTGACACTAATCCATTAAGTATTTAAACTCTAGCCTATTTAATTAATTGAAACTAATTTCCATGCATCCATTATTCTTCCTAGATGTTAGCGCATCTGTTCGTGGTAAAATTCAAATTATAAATCTTCCATTCATACCGGCTTATAGTGATACAAGTAGTTCAGAATATTTTGAGACTACGCAAAGAATAACATCCCAGGTATAGAAATTTAAGTTCTGTTAAAAAATAGGGCAATCAGACGCAATGATTTTATGTACTGTTTAATAAACGAGCAGGAGTGTTTTATTATGTTTAAAGCCACGAGCGCGCAGCGCGAATGGCTTTAGACCTAATAAAATACGACCTGTGAGTTTATTAAACGGCTTCAAACACGACTACAAATTCAATAGATACACTGCCTTATTAGTGTTCTTTATATAAAGAATACTAATGAGGACATGACTACAATAGATACTCCCTTATTAATATTTTTTATATAAAGAATACTAATTAGGAGTGTTTTATCAGGTTTAGCACGTGACATACTATGGTTGGCATGTTTGCCAATAAGCTTATGAATTATTAATGAGTTTTTGAAGTGCTATTTAAAACATGAACAGCAGTGTTTAATGTGTTTTTCTATTCATGTTTAATATGGCTTGAAAAACGACCCTCTGTTGAGTTCATTGGCGAAGTAATTTTAAATATAAATTAACGTTGTCTAAGCCGAGAAAAGTCTAACTTTATGTAAATGAACACAATTTTTTATCACATATAAAACCATGCACCGACATGGTAGTGATTGATTTTGTTTTTCCTCATGCTTTATTAATGAGTTTTTCAAATTATCATTGTAAGATTATTTATTTTCTCAATTTTGATCAGCTAATTGTTTTGCATGGAAATAACACTCCAACTGTAAATATTAACAAGTGGAATCTAATGAGCTGAGCATCCATATCCAAAATCATTGGTCAGCTTGAGATAATGATCTGCTCGAGCGTGCCCTATTTATTTTGAACATATGCTAATTAATTAAATTGATTCTGTGCGTACTTGGTTGAGTAAAAAACATGTAAAAACGAAAGCCGGAGATGCAAAAAACGTATTCGCTATAGTTGGGAAATGATATGAGACTGCAAATTCAAAAAAAATTCAAAAGAGTGGAAACGACTCCAAAAAAGAGTCACAACGATTCCAAAGGAGTCCCAACTTGACCCCAAATGACTCTTTTCGTGGTTGTTTTGACTTTTGAATTTACAGTGTGGTTTTGCAGCTGAACAACGAAAATGTTATACGAGGAAAAAGGCCAAAAAACCCGTGACATATTTCAACTTTCTGTTGTTTTTGAGTTTATGTTAATTTGTACACTGTCACAGTGATTGAGCTCATTGTAATTTCGTATAATTAGTAACCTTCAAATAGGGATAGCTGATATGAAACGTGTAATCACGACGAATAATATTTAACAAGACGCCTGCTCAGGCGTTCACACTGACCTGAAAATGACAACGTATTACGTGCTATGGTGCAATCGACAAGGAAAACAAATCGTGAACCGCAAACGCATGATTTTCGTAATGTCCAATGAAACACAAGTATTACTCACAAATACAAACGTTATCCATAAATGCACATGGTCTCTGAGCATGGGACATTGTTTACATTCCGTGAGTCTGTAACTGTATAAAATTCGAAAAACTCAGCGTTCCAAATATCGCATTTCCAGAGACGTTGCACGAGGAAAAAACACCAAGTTAATTTCCAAAAAATTGCAGAGTAGGATAAATCCAAAATCCACAGAAAAACGTGATAAAATTCGTTGATAAATGAACAAATTGTTTGAGACTCAAATAGCCACTCATTGAATGGCCACCATCTTGAAAACTGATCTGTATAATAAACTGGAACGACTGGAACACTTGAAACTGAGCCTGCGATGCGCTAACGCAAACTCGATATTTCTCGATGACGAAAAAAGCAGAAAACCCCCCAGGAAAAAACAGGGAAAAAACAGATAATTAGGGATTTAAGACTCTTGACCTTTCAGGATTGTGTAATTAGGTTCGGAAAAACGAAAAAGAAGTCTTCTATTTTGGGGCTGTAAAGTTGGACGGAATTCCAGACCTTCATACACCTTGCTAGGTTATGGATGGGGAATAAGTGGTCGAAAAATTGGTCATATTTCTACGTTATGCTATAGAATTAGTGTGTATACCTTTGTGCGCATGAGTGAAACATCTAAATTACTATTAAGACGCAAGCGCAAAAATTTCTGAAAACATTCATTCAGAAAGCATTGCCATAAGCCCTGCACAATAAAATTAATGAGTAACTTTAACAAACATATGCACCAACATAATTTCCAAACATCACAGGTTTCAGGTGTTCAGTATTACGCTAAAATGAATTTTTAATACAATTTCGATAAAATTATATCAAAACAATTTATACTGCTGTGGCCATTAAATATATTGTTATTTTATAAGTATAAAAAATCGAAGGCGCTCATCATTTTTTTTGTCATTTTTTTTTTCATTCTTCCTGTAGCTAACAAGAAATTATCAGGAAACTCCGACGATGCGTTTTTTCTTTCACTCAGTTATGATGATACGACTACTGTAAGTGTTATATAATTATCTTCTATTCACAAACAGCTTGTTAAGTGATGTATTTCAAAGACAAATGCAAAAGCGTCGTAAAATAATTACTTGTGTTGTGCAAGCTCAAAAAATCGTATCACGTTCACGCCCACAAAAGTTGACGGACACGCAAACATACTTTTCAATGTTTAAAATCCTAATTTTGAATAATAGTGAGGCGGATATGTGTAAAATTATTGATCAGTAGTTCCCGTTGAGGTTAAAAGCATCAAACTTTACAATTGATGTAGTTTTATTTGCTTAATAGATATTTGAAGTGGGGCCATCGCTATTTTGCTGCTTACTCCTGAAAACGGGTGATTAGTGATTTTCTTCTATTGAATTCTATCATAGCCAAAAAATGTGAAATTTTGTATTCTATTACAACAAATATGACTTGCATCATCAGAAAGCTTATACAAAACTGCATATAAGGCGTTTAGACAGTTTTTGATTTCTGAAACAGTTTTCGAATAGACAACTTGCATGTTAGACTAATTTTTGATTTAGGCCAAAAAAAGTAAATTCCCGTAAAGAACTTATTAAAATCAGTAAAATTTCAAAATTTGGTTGCGAAATGTTGTAAAATTTAGAAACTATAGCCTTGCGAAGTTTGCATATTTTCAGTATATTTGTATTACGTGCGGAAATTGTTACCATTTTTGAGCCGAAAATGGTAACAATTTCGCACGTAATACAAATATACTGAAAATATGCAAACTTCGCAAGGCTATATTTTCTGCATTTTACAACATTTCGCAACCAAATTTTGCAATTTTACTAATTTCATTATTTTCTTTTTAACTGTTGTGTTTTTCCCCTTATCTTTACTTAGATTAAAATTTAGTCTAACATGCAAGTTGTCCATTATAAACTGTTAAAAACGCATTTTCAAACGTCGAATAATTAATTAGGGACTTTTAGCGAGATAATGTGCCTAATTTACAGCAATAACCAGTGGAAGAATAAAAAAACTGTTTAAAAATCTTTTATGTAGTTTTTTTCAAAATTTCACTTTTTTGTTGTGGTAAAATTTAATAGCAAATAATGCTAACAGCACTGTAAGCTCTCTAAAAAAAAACAGTTTCACGATGGCCCCACTTTTGCATGTTGTTCTACTCATAAAAAGATGCTACTGTGCACAATTTGGTGCTTTTAACCCTCTTCGGAAACATCCATGCACATATCCGCCACACTATAAACGATCGGTATACTTAGTAACAACAAGACGTTCTACGGAGCGCTAAATCGCTGGGGCTATACATATATACGCACATTACTGTACATGATCACACATAATACATACAGTACACAGCTATTTCAATTAAGAGTTTAAGGTTCTCCCCCAGCTGAGTGGAAAAGTCGAAAACGAGCGCGAAAGGCTTAACACAGTACTAAAATGTGGTAGGCCCTACCCTACATTACAAGTAAAGTTATATTTAAGCCTGGCGCACACGATGCGATTTTAGTCGGCCGATAAAATCGTTTGACATACCGATATACATCGGTATACTCCGCACACGATGACGAAAAAAATACGCTCCCTGAGCTGTAGCCGCCATGTTGCCAAATAAATACAAGCACGCGATCACAGCATGAAATCTGATTGGTTAATTATACTTAAAATTCCACCGATAAAAATCGTATAATATCAAAACGTTTTGATGTTGTCCGATTAAAATCGAGCAACAAAAATCGGTTAAAAATGACACCGCACACACAACGATTTTGTTAGTTTTAGTCAAACGATTTTTATCGGCCGACTAAAATCGCATCGTGTGGGCCAGGCTTAAGTACGCTACAATCCTTCTTCAAGACTGTCAGCCGCCAGTTCGTCCGTATGCTAGGATTAAACTGCCCTTTAAAACGTTCAAAATAAAATATTTTTGGGCTCAAAATACTATCAAAATGAAGAGAGAAGTGAGACGAATCCACTGGTATACGGCCGAAAAAGAGAAAACCAATTGATTCATCGAGCCGCGCCAACAGTTTGAATTAGGGTCAGATCCTGACTCTGTCGCCTGATTGGATGATTGTATTAAAGCTCTCTGATTGATTTAAATAAAACATCTATAACCAATCAGAGAGCTTTAATACAATCATCCAATCAGGAGACAGAGTCAGGATCTGACCCTAATTCAAACTCATTGGCGCGGCTCGATGAATCAATTGCCACTTTCAACCAGAGGTTTATTTTAAACATCTGGAACCAGGGTATAATTTTGAGCGATTTATCAACAACACAATTTCGCTTGATTTTCAAAGACAAAGGCCATAAATCACTAGAATACTGTTGTTTAGTAATACATTTGACATCCGTGAGTACAATTTCTTACGCTGAATCTAACGGTGGTATTTTTATCCTTATTGC